TCCCTGACATTCTGTGATTCTGTGAAAACCAAATCTGCTGGAGGGCATAAAAAATATAATTGAAGCAGGAGAGAAAGCTGGAGTTTAATTAACTAACGAAGGTAAAGAACAAATTATACCCCCCGTGGAGGTCAGCCCGTGTTATCCTCCTAACGCAGCATCGCCCCGTGTGCCGAGAGGCCTCAGCAGAAGGTTCACCCGATGTTTTGTAAAATGTTTTGTAAAACCAGGCTGGCACTGGAGTTACACCCACTGCAACCTTCACCCGCACGCTGCCTCACCGGAAAAACTGCCTTTGCTCCTGATTGCACTTTCCCTGCAGGTTGGGGCCACAAAATACCCAGGAAGAGAGTCCTGAGCTTCTTGGTCCATCTAAAGTAGCCTTCAAGCCAAGACCCATCACTGTCTATACCATAAACATCTTAAACAGGAGCCCAGTAGCAGCCCAGTTGGACCTGGGATGCGATGGGATGGGGATTCAGCATGGGGGGACTCACCCTGTGCACAAAGACCATCAAATGTGGCACTGATTCGGGATGTGAAGCCCCACCAAAGGGCTTTGGATGGGAAAACCAGCAGCTGGTCTGCAATGGGTTGGCAGGACTGAGAGTCCTCTCTGGAGCGTGTCCACAGAAGGGCAACGGAGCTGGGGAAGGGTCTGGAGCACAAGTGTGCTGAGTTCCCTTGTGGCTGAGGGAACTGGGGTTGTTGAGCCTGGAGAAAAGGAGGCTGAGGGGAGACCTTGTGGCTCTGTGCAAGTCCCTTGGAGGAGGGTGGAGAGAGGTGGGGGTGGGTCTGTTCAACCAAGGCCCAAGGGACAGGACAAGAGGAAATGGGCTCCAGTTGTGCCCAGGGCAGTTGAGATGGGATGTGAGGAAGAATTTCTTTGCTGAAAGGGTTCTGAGGCATTGGAAGGGGTTTCCCAGGGCAGTGGTGGAGTCCCCATCCCTGGAGGGATTGAAGAGTCGTGTAGACACAGTGCTGAGGGACATGGGTTAGTCATAGGGGACTGGTCAGTGTTGGGTTCATGGTTGGACTTGATGATCTTAAAGGTCTTTTCCAACCAAAATGATTCTATGATTCTTTAATTTGATGTCACCTCATTAATCTGAACAAAGGCAACATCATCCTCCAAGATGGAGCTGGGTTTTTCGACAAGCCAAGATAGATATACCTGCACAGATGAAGCTCTGCGAGTCCAGACCCTTCTCCATGGGGATGGCCACCAGGTATTGCAACAAGAAGCCATTCTCCTTCACAATGTTCTTCAAGATGACCTGGGATTGCCCATCCAAGCTGCCACCCAGCGTCAGTGCCTCCTCGGCGCTCTCCAGGTAGGACATGAGCACCCCTCGGACCAGCTCCCTCCACGAAGCTGCTTCCTCTGCGTTCTCAGCCTGCAGCTTCAGGACAGCTTTGGAGGTGATGACTTTGAAGAACGCAGGTCCCCCAAGGCTCGTGTCTGGAAGAATGTCCTGGATGGTCTCTATACCGTAACTGTTGCTTAAAATTTTATCGTTGTTTCTGACTTTGAAGCACTTCAAAGTTTCTAGAGACAGGGAAAAAATAAAGGGGACCCAGGTTTTGTCTACGTCCACGTACAGAACAGCTTCTTTTATTGCATCCAGCTCCGGTTCATGAACTGGAGTCCAGTCAAAGCTGTTCCCAGTTGTGTCACTGTACTGGAGAAGAGCAGAAGAGTCATTTTGGATGGGCTGACCTTCACCACCATCTTCTGGATACTCTAGTGTCTCCCACTCCTCCTCCTCTAGCTGAGGCCGGCACTTGTGCAGCGCCTCACGGATCCTGTCCAGCCAGTCCTCAGCTTCATCTCGAGAAGGAGCTCGTAGGTAGAGCTTCTTCCCCAAGAAAACCAGCTCGAAACGGCCGTCCGAGTGCGTCAGCGCCAGCGCCTCGCACCGCAGCAGGGAATAGTTCTCCACACAGATCCTGTCCTCGTGGTCCAAGAAGAGCCGGAGCTCCAGCGGTGACAGCTCACAGGAGAACTCCTTCCATATCCCCATGGCTCCTCTCCGCTCCAGGCTGCCCAGCTTCAGGAGTCCTCGGAACGGGTTGGAAAGACCTGAGGCAAAAGTAGATTGTCTCAGTTTAACCAAAAAAAGAAGCTGATGGAGAGAGAAAAGCCAAGGGGTGGCTTGCAGTGAGCAACCAGAGGCATGGCAGCTTTGAGAGCTGATCCTGGTGGATGGTGGGATGGGGCAGGAGTTCACATGACCTGCTTGTTCCATCTCCATTATCTGCTGGCATGTGTTTGGGTTTTGAGGGTGAGGATGAGTGGGATGGCATAAAGGAAAACATGTCCCACAGGGTGGACAGAGACACCCAGCACACCTCCTGTCCTCCTAAAACTCTTCCCACCAGAGCCACCATGGGCTCAGCCACACCAAGGACAGCTGTCCCACCATCTTCTGGAGCTTTTAGTGGTGCCACGACCTCAGCGATGGCAAACTGTGCTTCCCAAAGAGCCCATCACAGAATCACAGAATGTTGGGGATTGGAAGGGACCTCAAAGATCATCCAGTCCAACCCCCTGCCAGAGCAGGAACCTCAATGAGATCACACAGGAAGGCGTCCAGGTGGGTTTTGAATGTCTCCAGAGAAGGAGACTCCACACCCTCCCTGGGCAGCCTGTCCCAGGGCTCTGGCACCCTCACTGGAAAGAAGTTTCTTCTCAAGTTGAAGCAGAACCTCCTGTGTTCCAGCTCACACCCATTGCCCCTTGTCCTACCATTGGGCATCACTGAGAAGAGCCTGGCTCCATCCTCCTGACATTCACCTTTACATATTTATAAGCATTAATGAGGTCACCCCTCAGTCTCCTCTTCTCCAAGCTAAAGAGCCCCAGCTCCCTCAGCCTTTCCTCAGCAGGGAGATGCTCCACTCCCTTCATCATCTTGGTGGCTCTGTGCTGGACTCTCTCCAGCAGTTCCCTGTCCTTCCTGAACTGTGGGGCCCAGAACTGGACACAAAGCCCATCACCCAAAACACCCCCCCTGCCCCTGAGTGCTGCTCAGTGAAGAAAGCAGGAGAGGGGAGGGTGGGACGTACCCATCTGCCTGCGATGGACAACGCTGAAGCCCTTTTGTTCCCGTTCAGGTGACATTTGGGGTTTCCTGCTCTCCGAGGACGGCACCGACAGCCTCTCCAAGTCAAGAGCACTAATGAGCCCTGGGGCCAGACCTTCACCAGCCCCTTCTGGCCCAAAGCCATTGGTGCTGGCTGTGCTTTGGCTGCCTTCTCCTGGAGAAGGTCTGTAGAAATCATCTTCTGAGATCCAGCTCTTTCTTTTCTGTTAAAATCAATACAGAAAAAAGAAATTCATTGTCAAACTTATTGATCACCCTGTGCCCCTCAAACACATGTGTTCACAGTGACCCCTCCACGGGGGCTGCTCCCGTGCAGACTCAATCCCAACCTGACTGGATTCCCACAGGGATTGTCCCCTGCTCTCCACTCCATGGGATTGTGTTGGCAGCTGGCAAATATTTGGATTATAAATTCCAAAATTGATCAGTTCTCTCCCCCATAAAATCATGGAGAAGCTCAGGGGGAGGGAGAGCACATTCCCTGCAGCACATTCCCTGCAGCAACCACAGATGGGATATTTGGTCCAAGAAAAGCCAGCCTGGCCATGGAAGGGTAGGAGGTCACCTGGAGCAGTGGCATCATCCTTGTTTTAGGAAGAACAGAGATGGGGAGAGGTGCAGAGAAGATGTCCAGGATGAAATACAGACCTACAGCTCACAAGCAGATGCTACAACACCAGGTCTGGTCAGTACAGGTAAAAAGTGAGGCAGGGAAGGGAGAGGGCACCTTTGTCTCTGTATGTCAGGAGGGGATGAGACCCACAAGCAGAAGAAAGCTCGTTAAGTTGAAAGAAAACATGGCTGTTAATTTCTCCAGGAGCTTTTCTGGCTACAAGAATGGAATGAGGTTCTGGGACAAGGTCCCCAAACCAACACCAGGAGCAAAACACAACCCAGCTCAGTGCTCTGGCAGCTTCCCTAGACCCAGCTCATCTCTTCCAGGGCTGCATCCCACCAAGAACCACCTCTTAACTGTCCTCATCTGCTTTTTAGAGCCTTTTATTGTGAACAATGACCGAAGTGACAGCAGAAGAGCCACAACCACCCTGTGGAGGATCATGAGTGGCTTTGGTGCAGCTCCCAGGTTCTACAGCTGGACCAGGAACGCAGGTTGGTCCATGAGTCAGGTGAAATGGGGGGGAATTTCCTGTTGACACCGTAAGTTACACATGGATGAGATGAGATGGGCCCAGTGCCACCAGGAAGCAGCAGAAATGGGATAACTGGGAGGGAGCAAAAAGAGAAGTATGGGGGAGTATGAAGTATATCCTCACCTCAGTGGGATGGAAACGATAGGAACCGGGGTGGAAACAAAGGGAACCAGGGTGGAAACAATGGGAACCAGGATGAAATGATGAGAACTAGGAAGGAAATGAGAGGAACCAGGATGGAAATTATGGGAACTAGGATGGAAACAATGGGAACCAGGATGGAAATGATGGGAACTAGGATGGAAACAATGGGAACCAGGATGGAAATGATGGGAACTAGGACAGAAATGATGGGAACTAGGACGGAAATGATGGGAACTAGGACGGAAATGAGAGGAACCAGGATGGAAATGAGAGGAACCAGGATGGAAATGATGGGGACTAGGACGGAAATGATGGTAACCAGGATGGAAACAATAGGAACCAGGATGGAAAAGTCAGCAACAAATTAACCAGGGGACAGGGTTGTTCACAGAGTTTCCTAAAAGCACAAGCAGAGTGGATCAGCTCCTCGGCAGCAGCAGGGGAAACCCTCCACTGGTTAAGCTCAGCCTAAGCACCAGGGAACACCATCCTGCTCTGGGAACAGATGTGTTGTGTGAATATTGTTCCACTGGAAAACTGCAATTTGTTTCCTGTCCAGTCAACCCTTTTCCTCTGCTTCTTACATGGACCATAAATGAAAGAAAAGTCCCCATGAGAAACTCGACTCTCGGGCTGTTTTATCAGCTCACACAGAGTTTATGGCCAGATCTGTGCAAGAGCTCAGCACCCTTCAGATATCCTTAACAAAACCAAAAGCTTCCTGTCACAGTCACTCCTGGGGAGGAACCACTGGCAGCCCAGGCAGGTTTGCAAAAGCTTTGGTGCCTCTTTTACCAGGGAATATCGACTTTGAACTGATTTCTCCCAGAGTGGCTGCATGGACACAGCTCCACGAGGTCCAGGGAGATGCTCATGGAGCGGGGAGCATGGCTTACACCTGACTTGCCATCAGGAGACTGGAAGCAGCACAGAAGATGAGAGTTTGGAGAAAGTGAGGCATATTCAGAAGCTGTCACTGGTTTTATTTTCCTTTTCCACTAGATGTGCTGGTCAGGAAGCAGAAAAACAAGGAGTTCAATAGCAAATGAGCTGTAACACCTACCGGACAAGCCAGCAGTGGAGAGAGGAGATATTCAGCCGTGGGGCTGCGGATGGGCTGGCTGGAATCACTGCTGCCAACTGTGTCACTTCGGCTTATTTCTCCTCTGCTGGGACCACCACGTCGCGTGGCCGAAACACCAGCCGGGCCGTCAGCTTGTGGGGCTGCATCTCCATCCCCATTGCTGGTGGTCACCGTGTCACCCACCTGAGGGGAGCGTGGACTGTTGGTGGTGGGAGGTGATTGCTGATGAGCTCCGTGGGATGGTGCTGGGAGGATGGAGGATGCAGCTGGGGGGCAGGTGGGCTGCACGCTGGGGACCAGCCCTCCCTCTGGGGTTTCCAGGCTTGGTTTGGTTTTGCTGAACTCAGACAACACCCTGGAAATAGAAAAGTGACCGGTTTGAATGTTGCTACGTTAACAGAATGTATAAAAACCCCCAGTTATGGTTCCTATGAGGACAGGCTGAAAGAGTTGGGGCTGTTCAGCCTGGAGAAGAGAAGGCTCCAGGGAGATCTTATAGCGGCCTCCCAGTACCTGAAGGGGCTCCAGGAAGGCTGGGGAGGGACTTTTCCTAAGGGCAGTTAATGACAGAACAAGGGGAAATGGGTTTAAGCTGAAAGAGGGGAGGTTTAGCTTAGATATTAGGAAGAAGTTCTTCACTGTGAGGGTGGTGAGACAGTGTCCCAGGTTGGCCAGAGAAGCTGTGGCTGCTCCTCCCTGGAAGTGTTCTCGGCCAGGCTGGATGAGGCTTTGAGCAACCTGGTCTAGTGGAAGGTGTCCCTGCTGATGGCAGGGGGGTTGGGACTGGATGAGCTTTAAGGTCCCTTCCAACCCAAACCATTCTATGATTCTATGATTCTATGAAATGCTAAGCACCCAAAACAAGGGCTCAGCATCACTGCTTGGCTCCTGTGGGCTGGCAGCACCACACGGCTGCAAAAAACCCCCTGTGGCACCGGCCCTGAGAACAGAAAACCGAGTGATTTTTGCCCTACGGAGCCACAGTCGACCCCACTGCAGGCAAAGCCCCTGCCTGCAAAGACCACGTTTCCTAATTACACCTGTTAATGGGCTTTAATTTCCTTCTGATGGACACTTCTTAAGGGAGGGAGAGCACTGGGTGCTCCCCAGAGCCCCACGTACAGCTCCTGGACACATCTCCAGCCACGGATCATGTGCCAAATGTTTTCCTAATCATTAATGAGCAATTAGTGAAGCTCGGTCAGCCAAGACGCCGTTCCCATGCCCCCGCTTCACCACCAGTTCAGCTGAATTAAACCAACCCAAGATTAAAATTCAAACCAATGTCTTTCTATCATGAGTTTAATCCAATCAAGGCAGATTCTTCCAGGATCACCTTCAAATACAAAACCCTAGAGGTAGGTAACGACGCTGTTATCGATGGGGAAGGACAGACTGTGACTCTAAACCCTCCCAAAGACCCTCACTGGGAAGAAGGTGCCTTTGCCAATCAGCACCCCGAGGCCAGGCCCCTTCGGAGAGGCAGGGAAAATATTTACTGACTACTCAGAGCTTATACAACCCACTGGAAATCTTTGTGCTGGGTGTTTGGCAGAAATTAATCACGAGGATGACAAACTAACAACCTCCCTCCTCTAAATTGTCTGACGAAGCTGCAAATTATAACCCTTTCCTGCGACTAAATTCATTTCTTTCCCCCGTAGAAAGCCCTGGAGCATCCTCCAGCGTATTCCAGGGAGATGTGACATTCCTGAGACCAGGGAGCAGCATTTTTTTGACGTGTATTACCCCAGTAAAGAGGACAGACACACACTTCAGTGGCTGGGGGCTCCTTTGCTGTGGCAGCGAGGTCCCAGCAAGCTGTTCTGAGTGTTTTTTACCTTTCAGGCTTTTTCCAGCAGGAAAAAAAAGCTTGTTAAAGAAAAACAGAGGAGAAAGCGTTCTTGCCTGTAGCAAGAAAAATAAATAAAACCTAAGAGAGGGTTAAAAATCCCTTTGAAGAGGAGATCTGGGAGAAGACTCACTCTTGCAGTGACTGGTCCAGGTCCTTGGTGGTGGCTGTCCCCAGGTCGGAGTCACAGGAGAGCGGCTCATCGCTCCGCTCCGGACTGCGGGCGCAGGGAGCCGGGAGGACGCTGTCAGAGCCCAGGCTGGAGGAGAGCTGGGATGAGCTCGTGGTGTTGAGGCTCAAGGAGGACGATGTGAGCTTGATTTTGCTGCAGGCTTTGCTGATGGGTAGGACAGAAGGTTGAATCTCGATCTCATCCGACCCTGATGATTGGGAGATGGAACCCAGCGATGCTTTTCTGTGGGGTTCAGATGTTGAGGATGTGAGTGGTTCCAGCAGCTCTGAAACAGGACACAGACCTGACAGGGACAGAGGGGTGATGGTCCACTCGTTTAAAACTGCTGATTTATAGGAGAGCTCGAAGGTTAAGGATGATAAACCCTGCAAGTAGCTAAGGAGAAACTCGCACTCTTCAGCATCCAAGAGCAGAGCAGTCGCCTGGTAGAACTCGGGCAGCCGGGACCTCTCCCGCAGCAGCAGCTTCAAGTAACACTCCATGAGGCCATCGTTCAGAGCCAGCCTCAGCCAGGCTCGGCAGCGACCCACGTCTGTATTGATGAAGATGAGTTGTTCCAGCTCTGAGACAATATTTCTGAGGGAAAGGGAAAAAAAAAGAACAGAATAGGATGTGAGAGGCTCCGGTTTTGGTCCATCACAGGGGGCAGGAGGAGTAGATTCTCCATCAGGAACTGCTCAACCTGCTTTGCTATGGGGAGTTTAGGAATTGGGTAAAAAAAAGGTTGTGGAAAATCTCTTTTCTCCACAGAAAAAGTGGTTTCTCATGGAGAAAAAATTGCTCCTGAATGCCCCAAAGCTAAATATATTGGTAATGACCCCAGCAGGTCTGGGTGCTCCTCCTCTCTCTGGCTGGAGGCATCTCCCATGCATCGCTTGCCCTGGACCAAGGCAGACAGGGAAATTAATAGACTGGTTTGGGTTGGAAGGGACCTTAAAGCTCATCCAGTCCCAACCCCCCTGCCAGCAGCAGGGACACCTTCCACTAGACCAGGTTGCTCAAAGCCTCATCCAGCCTGGCCTTCAACACTTCCAGGGAGGAGCAGCCACAGCTTCTCTGGCCAACCTGGGACACTGTCTCACCACCCTCACACCAAACAATTTCTTCCTAATATCTCATCTAAACCTAAACCTAAATTCCTGTTGTCCCTGCACGATGGTGGGACATGCTCTGGCTGGATACTCCTTGGTGACAACTGTGTGTCTTAAATCCTAACTTCAAATTTAAAATCAGCCAAAACAGTGAAAACTGCTGCAGCAGCCCCCAAAAAACCCCCAAGTCAGGTTGAGCTCCTCAAACAACCTCAGTCTCGTGATTTCAACCATATTCCCTGAAAATCCAACAGTGACCCCGCGCTCCCTGATCCCCCCCAGTCCCAGCTCCCATTGGCACTGGAGATGCTACAAAAACAAGAGCAAAACTTTTCTAAAGTTGTTTTTTTTTTGTTTTAAATCTGTCTCTCAAGAAAGAACTAAAAAAAACCTTCAAAGGGCACAAAAATATCCCCCGTAGCATGTGAAAGAGTTATTTTCATCTGCTGGTTCATAATTCAAGAGTTGTTGATGGTGTTTTATGAAGCTTTCAAAACTATTTGTGTGTGGGCTGTTATTGAGCGTGGGAGAACTCTGCTTAGGGAGTGGCTCAGAAAAACCCCAGCCAGTAACCCCAGGAGCAACCTCCTCAGAGCTCACACAGCAGGTCAGGGATGTTCATCCTGGCTGGGACATGGAGAACAAGCATCCCAAGTAGGATCAGGTCCAGATCCCTGTGTCATGCATCCCGTAACCCATCACTGCTGTAGGTCAGTGTGGTCACCAAGGTCCCACCAGGGAGTTCCCATTTACAGCCTGGCACCCCAAAATAAAATAAGGAAGGGGTATGCACTTAGCTGGCAGTGGTGTTTCATTCCTTGACTGTCTGGGGACGTGGGCTCACATCTAAATCATAGAATTTATGGTTGGACTAGATGATCATAAGGGTCTTTTCCAACCAAACTACTTTATGAATCATTAAGGTTGGAAAAGACATCCAAAAGAAGAGAGGAGATTTAGAAGCACAGACTCATAGAATTGTTTTGGTTGGAAAAGACCTTTAAGATCATCAAGTCCAACCATAAACCTAACACTGACCAGTCCCCGACTAACCCATGTCCCTCAGCACTGTGTCTACACGACTCTTCAATCCCTCCAGGGATGGGGACTCCACCACTGCCCTGGGCAACCCCTTCCAATGCCTCAGAACCCTTTCAGCAAAGAAATTCTTCCTCACATCCCATCTCAACTGCCCTGGCCACAACTGGAGCCCATTTCCTCTTGTCCTGTCCCTTGGGCCTTGGTTGAACAGACCCACCCCCACCTCTCTCCACCCTCCTCCAAGGGACTTGAACAGATCCACAAGGTCTCCCCTCAGCCTCCTTTTCTCCAGGCTCAACACCCCCAGTTCCCTCAGCCACAAGGGAACTCAGCACACTTGTGCTCCAGACCCTTCCCCAGCTCCGCTGCCCTTCTCTGGACACGCTCCAGCACCTCCATGTCCTTCTTGGACTCAGGGGCCCAACACTGGACACACTTTAACCCTTGCAGACACTGGGTGGGGCTGTGCTGGGTGCCATGTCCTGCATCACTTGTCACTGCAGGAGCTTTACTCTCCTACCTTCAGGTCCCAGTGGTCCCGGGAGCCCTGAGACACCCTGCGAGAGCATCTCTCCCTCCGACCGATGGGTCTGAGCACACAGGATGGGGTAGAGCCCTATCCTTCCATCGAGCCACCTTCCTGTTCACCTGCTTTGGTAGGGAGGTTGGACTGGATGATCTCCAGAGGTCTCTTCCAACCCCACCATTCTGTCATTCTGTGATTCCCTGAATTTTGTGGCTTTTGCAGCAGAGAGACGGGACAAACCCGAGCGCACAGACACCTCTGGGCAGGGACGGGCACTCACCGATGGGTGATGCTCTTCAGCAAACCCCAGAAGACAGGTTGGGGAAGTGGTCCCCGACCTCCTGTTTTCTTTCCTTTCCCCCCACTCTCTGGCTTTATGTGCTTTGCCTTCAGCCCGTGCACAAAAACAGCTTCCAGGGCGCTGCAGAGGGTGTTGGCGTTCCCATCGTCGCTGGTTACGATGGCATCCGAGGTGACGTACTGCTTCTGCAACGCCTTGATGGCATTCACCAGTTGCTTCTTGATCAGCTGCAAGACAGGAGGTACACACTCAGATTATTAAAAAAATAAGTATGAGGTATTTTATTTCATATAAAAGGGCTCAAAAACTGTAAGGCTTGTGCTGAGCTCAGCACCGACAGCTGAACTGGTCAAGTTGGGGACTCACACTCTTGGCATCACAGTTCATCTGGCTCTTAGGTTGCCCAAGGAAGTTGTGGCTGCTCCTCCCTGGAAGTGTTCAAGGCCAGGTTGGATGAGGCTTTGAGCAACCTGGTCTAGTGGAAGGTGTCCCTGCTGCTGGCAGGGGGGGTGGGACTGGATGAGCTTTAAGGTCCCTTCCAATCCAAACCATTCTATGATTCTATTATTATGTTTAAAATGAATAATTTATACAATTTTAGCTGCTGTTTTGGAGCCCACTGGGTGGCTGGGGTTGCCTTTAGAGCATGTGGTGCTTCCTCTGCAGACATGAAACTGCTTAAGAGGATGGGGGAGAAAAAGAAATCAGCTCTTTCCAGGTGCTTGCGTGGGGGAAACACAGGAATTAACTAAACATGGGTGAGAAATGAAACTCAAAGGAGGGAACCTTGGAGGGAACCTTTGGAAAAGAACAATCCTTGTTAAAACATTTCTTAAAATCTTTGAAAAGCAGGTTACAACATGAATCCTGAAGACAAACTCTTCTTCTCTGCCATAAAAGACCTTTCAGGACTATTTTATTTTAAAATAACACGGGTGTGTTCTGTCACCTCCAAAGCTTTTCCCAAGCTTTTTTTTCTTCAAAGCATAAACCAACTCAGACCAACGTTGCCAGTTTTTAGCTGTGAGCAGTTAAATCTGCCCCGTTTTTCCCTCCTGCTGCCTCAGTGGGGACTGTTCCCTTCCACCACACCAACCCGGGGACACTGCTGGTCCCAGAACCACACACAGAAGCGGGACAGCACAGTTAATTTATTGAGATAGTCACTTGGGATGAGTCTTGCTTTTAAAGGTAGGAGCTGGGCTCTCCTGAATCCATCCCACCACTTTCCCAGCCTGCATCCCACAATCCCAGCATTGCCTGGATTGGAAAAGCCCTTTAAGCTCATCGAGTCCAACCATGAACCCAACACTGACCAGTCCCCTATGACTAACCCATGTCCCTCAGCACTGTGTCTACACGACTCTTCAATCCCTCCAGGGATGGGGACTCCACCACTGCCCTGGGCAACCCCTTCCAATGCCTCAGAACCCTTTCAGCAAAGAAATTCTTCCTCACATCCAATCTCAACTTCCCAATAACCTAAATTTAGCCAGAAGAATTAAACTGCCGCCTGGAAAATCAACAGCCATTTATCTATTTCTTGCCACTCTGCAGTTGCTTAAGACAATTTTGAAGGTTCAAGACACTTGAATGTCTTACCCCTACCCTGAGATTAGCTCATTGACTCCTAATAGACATTTGAGGTATGGCTGATATCTGAAGAATGATCTATGCTCCTGAAAATCAGATAGGATTTGATTTGAGCTCATCCTCCCAGCCAAGATCATGAGTACAGGACTCGCTGGGTGGCTGGAATTGCCTTTAGAGTGTGTGGTGTTTCCTCTGCAGACAGCAAAATTTTTAAGAGGATGAGGAGGGGGGGAAAAGAAATTGGCTTTTTGAGCAGGAGAAACACAGGGATTAAATAAACATGAGTGAGACATGAGAAACTCCACGGAGGGAACCCATAGTAAGGGCTGTGATACTGCTTGAATTCCTGCAGGTCAGCCCAGGTGGCACACTAATCATAGAACCCCAGACTGGTTTGGGTTGGAAGGGACCTTAAAGCTCATCCAGTCCCAACCTCCCTGCCAGCAGCAGGGACACCTTCCACTAGACCAGGTTGCTCAAAGCCTCATCCAACCTGGCCGAGAACACTTCCAGGGAGGAGCAGCCACAGCTTCTCTGGCCAACCTGTTCCAGTGTCTGACCACCCTCACAGTGAAGAACTTCTTCCTAATATCTCATCTAAACCTCCCCTCTTTCAGCTTAAACCCATTTCCCCTTGTTCTGTCATTAACTGCCCTTATGAAAAGTCCTAATGAGTCCCACCAGCAGAAATCAAAGCCATGGATGGTGCTCTCAGCAGTTTGGCTGCATTGATTAACCTCAGGGTGCTGCTGGGGACCAGCTCCCCCCAAAAAAGATGCTTTTGGAAGGATGGTTGGGGTGTAGCTGCTGCCTTTGGGGAGAGTGGGTGGGTGTTGAAGCTGGAATGTGGGAATTCTACCTTCCAGCAGCTTTGCCTCCCTCGTTCTCACATGAGTCAAAACCAAGTGAGTTCAGTGAACGGAACAATTTTACGCTGGTGGAAAGAAGGAATTTTATTTATTTTATTTTTGTTTCTAACCCAGCTGAGCCCGGATGTCTCAATCAAACCTCATTTAAAATGAAAGGTGTGCTTCCCAGCAGGCATTTAGCAAACACTGCCAGTTCAGCTGGGACTCCACCAAACAATTCAGGGAGGGATTTAAAAAACGAGTAGAAGGGGCCCTTGGGGACACGGGTTAGTGGGCCACGGTGGTGGTGGGGTGATGGTTGGACTGGATGATCTCAGAGATCTTTTCCAACCTTAATGATTCTGTGATTTGATGTTTCAGCATTCGAGGCAAACTCTGAACAGCAACTGGGACAGGGCAGATTTTGACTCCAACCTGGGTTGGTTGCACAAGCCCATATTAAATTTTCAGCCTAAGATATATATTTTTTTTAGCATCTAAATAAGATTTCCAGCAGCTGACCAGCTAGATCAAGAACAACAGCCAAGGGGGACATACACACACACACACACCTTATCCCTGCTCGTTTTGGGGGTGCCCCTTTGCAGTGGGAGCTGTTTTCCAGTTGCTCCACAGATCTGACAGCACAAGCGACCCGCCGGCGAGCAGCAGCCGTGTGCTAACAGGATTAAAGAGTGCAAGTGATTTTATCTGTCACGCACGAATTAATTCTGCTCTGGGATGAATTAAACACCCGGGTTGAACCGCTGGGTTTGAAATTTGCTGGTTAAACGTGTTTAAACTCCCAAAGGTAGGTAAGGAAATTCTAAATATACAGAGCAGTAATGGTTCTTCACCCAGAGATCAGCGCTGGGGACCTTCCCCTGACCCACACTGGGCAGTGTGGGGGGGTAGTGGAAGGTGTCCCTGCTGCTGGCAGGGGGGTTGGAACTGGATGAGCTTGAAGGACCCTTCCAACCCAAAGCAGTCTGTGAGGCTGTGTAGAAACAGAAGAGAAGCAATCCCTGGCTCAACGTGCATCACTGCAAGCTTGGGGGGCACGAGGGGCAAAGCCCCCAGGTAGAGTCTGGTGTGATTGAACCCCCCACATCAGCCAAACCAGCAAGGATTTTCTCTGCTGGAAAGAGCAAGCCACCCTTCACCCATGTAAACCATCCCAATCCCAGCTGGCAGCACTGACAAGTCCTACCATGTCCTTGTTGGTAACTGGAGTTGCACTGGGGAGTAACTGGAGCTATCTGGGGAGGGTGGAGGGATGTCTTGCTCACCTGTATGGCTTCCTTGGGGTCATCGGCGTGGCTCGAATGCATCTCAGCTGCTGCCGCTCCCTGTGCTGCCTTCACATGTCACCTTTGAGAGAAAGAGGAGGAGCAGATCTGAGCACCCGTTTGGTTCACAACTCACCCACCAGCCACACGAAGGGCACCCAGTGTCACACCAGAGGCTCAGGTCACACACGACGTTTCGCAAGAGCTCGCGGCCAGGTCGCTGCCACTGACCACATGGAAACACCACACCACGAGTTTCAGGCAAAACAGAGCATGGCCAAGAGATTGAGAGGGAGTAATTAACCCTTGCAAGAGGGAGTAATTAACCCTTCCAAGAGGGAGTAATTAACCCTTGCAATCTGCCCGCTGGCACCCCCTAAACCTGGGTGAGACGCCAGCCTGGTCAAGCTTGCAGTGACGGACGCTGAGGCAGGGATTGCTTCTCTTGTTTCTACACAGCCTCACAGACTCGTTTGGGTTGGAAGGGACCTTAAAGATCATCCAGTCCCAACCCCCCTGCCATCAGCAGGGACACCTTCCACTAGACCAGGTTGCTCAAAGCCTCATCCAACCTGGCCTTCAACACTGCCATGCCCAGGTGCCATCAAGGGCATCAAAACAGGCATTTATGGGAGAGCCTGAATGGTGGCACCCAAAACCCATGTGAATGGCATTAAGGTGGCCCAGACAGAGGGGTGTCACCCTCCAGCAGACCCTGGGCAGAGGTGACAACAGCTCATCTCTCTGGTATTTGCTCTCAAGAGGTGCCTGGGTGGTTGCCCTGATGGCACAGAGCTGCCTGGGAAGCTGGGAAGGAAGGTTCTCCATCAGGTTCTTCATCAGGTTCTCCATCAGGTTTCCAGTCGCTCCATTCGGAAGCAGATGAATGCCAGGATGTCCCCGCTCCTGGGGGGTGCAGATGGCAGAGCTGCTCTGCTGCAGCTGGTTTTGGTGGGAGAGAAAGAAAAACCAGTGCCCTCCCACTATGGGAAACACCGGCAAAGGCAGAACCGAGCTGGCAGCAGCAACATCCCTGGGGTCAGCTGCAGCTGTGGGGTGTTTGCAGACAACAAGGGACCTTTGACTTCTGACATTTGGCCACCTGCCCTGTTCTTCAGAGCCATCTGCTGAAACCCAGCTGTGCCTGGAGGCTCTGTGAGCGAAGAATCATAAAAATCCCAGACTGGTTTGGGTTGGAAAGGACCTTAAAGCTCATCCAGTCCCAACCCCCCTGCCAGCAGCAGGGACACCTTCCACTAGACCAGGTTGCTCAAAGCCTCATCCAACCTGGCCTTGAACCGTTCCAGGGAGGAGCAGCCACGGCTTCTCTGGCCAACCTGTTCCAGAAGAACACGGCTGTCAGTGAGGTGTCCATCACAGGGTTCCATCTCTGCTCAAACACAGCATGTCCTGGTGCTGCAAAGTGCCCGAGAGCTGCTCCAGCACCAGCTACCGCCGTAAAACTTTCTCAGGGCGTAAGAGATCGGAGAAGAAACGTATTCCCTTGAGCTGGAAGCACTTGTCGTGGCTTTGCCATCCAAGCGGCGAAGGACAGAGCCCAGCAGTTGATCTCCAAGGTTTGGGGATGTCCACAGCAGATAAGGAGCTTGGTATGGTATCAAATTTCAGATTTTATAACCAAGCCAACACAAAAACTCCACAGCTCTCCCCCAAGCAGAGCTGACGGCCTCAACCTGCCCCTGTCCCTGCACTGTGAGCCATCAAAGCAGGGCAAAAACATGGTTTGCAGACCAGGTCCTACATGGTCACAGCAAGTCCTGAAGACAGCGATGGTCCAAATCCAGAGCAGCCCAAATCTGGAGCAGCTTAAACCCAGAGCAGTCTGAATCCGGAGCATCCCAGACCTGGAGCATCCTGTGCACATACCGCACCGGATGGTCCTGCTCGGAGCAGCAGGTCAAGAGCTCTTTGGGGACAAACCCTGGGCTGATCCTGAGTGTTTCCAGAAGTCACAGACCATTTAATAGAAAAGGAAACTGGTTTTGCCATGACTTGTCATAAGATTTCCTCTCGCTGGGTTGCAACACAGAAATGGGGGAGCGCAGTGATTACGAGAACATTAACCTCTGGCTCCGAGGCTTGAGGTGCTGATGGGGGTTTTTTGGGGGAGTGAGGGGACATCTAAGTGACAGCAGCATTTGATGAGGACCACAGAGAGCCATCCGCATCTCTGCTCTCTACATGGGAGTTTCAGGCTCCTCGGGGCCCAGCAACTCCTGCAAACAAGCAACACACCCCACCCCAAGATAAATCCAAGGTGCTAGAGCTGGGAGTGGGAGACCCAAGGGTGGGAGAAGCAAGCTGTGGGCACAGGGTGGCATTTCTCATGCCCAGAGAGGCAGCGTGGATGTTTCAGCTCCAGGACTGCACCTGACATCTGTGCTCTCAACATCAGCCACCCCGGTGTCCCCGTCACAGGGGAGGGGGTGACAGAGGGGGTTTTGCAAAGATCTTGTCTAGATTTTACCAAGCGAGTGGTATTCCCCCAAAACACAGGCTGCTTCGCCGGCATCACCTCTCCCAGAGTCTGTAGGAGATGAGTCGCTGAGGAGGCCACTCAACCACCTCCACTATGGGACTCTCCACTCCCACCATGACCAGTCCGACCAGTTTGTCCCAGCATTTCTGTTGGGACAGCATTTTCCTGAATAACAAGTGCAACAAATCAGCTCCGAGGTGGATTTCATCCAACACAACTCTGGTGAAACACCAAGAGATCGAACTGGCAGCCCTGGCACCAGGCTAGCCAGCTCCAGAAGGACCTGGAGGGCTCTGGAGAACTTCCAAGCAGATCCTGGAAAGCCATGACTATTCTTTGTGATCTCGAAAGGATAAGAGATGGGATGGATGTGCAAACACAGAGCCAAGCACATCTATAGTGTTAAAACACCCCCCCCCCACATGGTTTCCCAGTAGTCACCACCCTGGAGGCAACACAGGCAGAGAACAACAGCTCGAGTCAAAGCAAGAACATCAAACAAGTGAGAAATGAAAACAAGCAGCGAGCTGGGGCGGTCAAACCTACCGAGGAGGAGAGTCACCGGCATGAGAGCAGAGCTGCTTATTGACCAAACTGCTGCAAAACAGCCCACTTCTTTGGGAAGGGTTTGTTCAGATCAAGTCTTGTACCCAGGAGAGGCAGAGACCCCTCCCCTTGTCCTGGAGAGCAGATCTTTTTGGTCTCCCAACCAGAGACGTTCTCTGGGTTATAAATAAACAGCCAGGTCACCGCTCATGCCTCACAAACGGAAAACAACAGCCCAGGACGGCGGCGGGAACCAGTGACTCAGGGTCTGGACACCGAGCCCATCATTTTCCAAGCACGAGTGTTGGACCAGTCACCCTCCACCCTGAGGGAAACCAGGGCTTTGATGGGATGGTGGAGGTCCAAGGGGTGATGTGGGGACAGACCCCTCCTCCTACACAGCCAGGAAAGCTTCTGCTCCCCACCCAGAGCCTGTGCACACCCTCAAAATATCAGCTGAGGCCATGGAGGAGCAGGACAGCCAGCTGGCAGGGCCAGGGGCTCGGCTTGGCACAGGGTAAAACCCCTCAGCAGTGATTCCACAAAGGTCAGGGCAGGGTCAGAGCAGAGCCCCAGCTCGTGAGGGCGGCTGGACCCTCGTGGTCCAACTTCAGCTCCTTCCCAGCGCGACGCAGCCCCCACTGCAGGAACACGGGGCTGGAGGAAGGGACGGGGACAGACACACCACCCTCGTCCCCCAAAAATGTCCTCCTTGCAGCTGACAAACCTGGTGGTGGGTGGAGAAGAGTCGGTGCTGATGAACCCCTCCAACTTCTGTCCCCACCACACCGAGCAGGACACCCAGGAGCAGGACAAGCAGGTGCTGAGCTCCTGGTGCTGCCCTCGCTGACAAGATTCTGTTCCTCAAACACCCAAAAATGAGGATTTCTTGGAGCCTGTCGCCTGTTCCTGTACCAGGCTGCGATTTGCTGGAGCCGCAGGTAAAACCAGGGTTGATTTTCCCACCACACAAGGGTTGGGAAACCCCCAGCGCGTTGGGGAAGGATGTTCCCGTATTTATATCCCTGATTTTGGGGTTGGTTTGGATTCCCAGAGCTGGAGATTCCCGGTTGATTCAGTGGCCATCTGACACAGCGGGCAGCTCGCATCCCTCGAGGGGGGGAGATCCAGGAAGCAGGGGGGGGGTCGCTGGAAATAAGGCACAAAAAATTGGTGTTTTAAACTCGATGTTTTCTGCTGGACACAAGAATTACTCAGAGCTCGTTGGGAACTGCTCATTTTAAGTGAAAAAATGTCATTTATGGGGAAGGTAACGCACAGGAAGTCAGAGGAATCTGTGAGGGTCCCACAGGTGCTGGATCTCCACGTGGGACAGGACAAGGAGACAGGTTTGGGGTGTCGGCGCTGGAGGGAGCAGATTGAGGACCAGACACCATCAACCCCCCCAGGGACCCTGTGGGAAGGAGCTTCTGACCCACAGCGTGGGCGTGCGGGGGCACAGGTCCCCCCCCAGCCCCATGGGGGGACACGCAGGGGGGCTCAGCCCCCTGGGTGGGGTGGTGTGGGCAGAGCCTGCCTGGGGAAGGGTCGGCAGCCATGGGGTGGGGGGCATCTCTTGTTGTCACTCTGCACCCATATCTGCACCCCCTGACCCCCATAACTGCACCCCTGACCGCTCCCC